TCCACAGTTACTGTGCCTCCAGGCCCCTCTGCCCTCAGCATCTACCTCTCCAAGCGGAGCCTTGGATGGAGCACACTGGCCACCTCAGAAGTCCTCGTGTCTGTCCGCCCCTCCCTTCATCTCCGCAGCATGTGGATGTGGCTGGTTGGCCTGACATGGAAAATGATTTCTTTGGAGGCGCACTGGAACCCCGTTCTGCCTTTGAGATGTGCCTCAATGACCCCCAGGGTATTTTGTGCCCTCCTCTCCCCTCTGTGCCAAGTCTCCCCACCATGGCAAGCCGTCTTGGGCAGGCTCTACTCCTAGACTGGTGGGTGTTGAGGGGGTGAGGTCAACGCAGAGGAGAAAGAGCAGGAGGCTTGTTTGGTTGGAAGTTCAGCTGTATTTCCAATTTAGCTCTTCTCAGCAATAAAGCTCATGTTTTGACTCCTCAGTGGTCCCAAACCCTACATTAGAAAGGTGCATGATTAGTTGGCCCCAAAACAGTTACCATGAGCAGAGTCTCCCCATAAAGCCAAAGTTCTGAATTTCCACAATCGTCTATGGTGAGAGGAACATAAATGTGAATCTCTGCTCTTCATCAGCTGTGTGATCTCTAGACCTCAGTTTCTTCATCTCTGAACTATGGATGATAATAATACTTAGCTCCTGGGGTTGTTGTAAGGGTTAAATGAGACGATCCCTTTGGCCCGAAGCATAGTCACCGTGTTATAGTAACACGAAGGGAGAGCGACTGCTTCTGTTACTGTTGTTTTTGCTGTTCTAAAAGGTTAGCAAAACAGACCCTTTCTACCACAGAAAGGTAGTTTCAGCTGAAGTCTTTAAGACAATGAGTGTCAGTTTCGTCCATGTCTTCATAGTGAGATGCGGGCCGCCAAAGCAGGAGGTGAAAGGATGTGGCCCAGAACTGGCGTTCCAACAACGAGCTGACAATCGGAAGATTCAGAGGCCAAGAGAGTAACCGAGGCTGGAGAGAAAATGTCTTTCAAAAGAAATATGTGTTCTGTGGCACCTTCCTCCTTGCCCAGCAGGGTGGCGAACGTGTGTTCTGTGGACTGGAGGGGTCCCCTAGGAGAGTGGACTGGAATTGTCTTCCAGGTCGACGAGGCCCTCCTGGAAGGGCGGTGCGACCCCAAAAGAGAACCTACGGGGAAGAGGTCTGCAGAGGTCCGCAGGCAGGTGGGGGATGGAAGCAGCTGGTGAGGGAGGGGGCAGTGCCTGGGTCAGCAGAACTTCAGACGAGCTGGAAGATCCAAGCAGAGCCAGAGAAAGTCCGCTTTAAGTAGGGTGATCACTAGTCTCGTTTGTCCAGGACAGTCCTGGTTTGCATCTGCCGTTCTGGTGTAATTATAAAGCACGTCCACTTTCACTCTTAAAAGTGTCTCCGCTTGGACAAGAGATTACTCTCCACCGAAGTCAGAGGCAACCACACCCAACCCACGGGAGGCGTCTCCGTGCCCCCTCCTCCTTTTCGCCCCCCTTTCACTCTCACGGAGCCTTCTTCTGCTTCCATGAGGGGGTTGTGGGAAGAGTAAACCTGTGGCTCACCTGGCAGGAAATAGAAGAGCCCAGCTTGCCTCCACCCCTCACCTTCTGCCTTTACTGCTGGAACCTTCCAGCCTGAAGCAGGAGCACACTGCAGGTGACAGAAGTGAGTTGGTATTTTGTTTACTACATGAACCGGGCATACTAGCTCAGGCTGTGTCTGTTCCTGTGATTAGAAGTGACCAGAAGACTTAATTACCTCAATGGAAAGGTAAAGCTGTGGGGTAGCCTGAGATTTCCTAGGGATACGGGGGAACGCTCGCCCTCAGGGTGGGCTTGACCGGGCAGTGGGGGAGCAACAAATACAAGTCTTTTCTGTTGACCCCCTTTATTTCTTGTTAAAGATACCAGTTATGTTGTTACTATTGACCACTCACCGTTTTCATTCTGGCTTCATGGACACCCAGGCAAATGAGCTCTCTTGCTACCCAGAGCTTTGGCCTCAAATCACTGTTTGACCTATTCTGGCAAACTGCCACGGCCCTCATGCAGACCTCCGGGAATTATTCTGAACTGCAAATTTAAGGCCTAGACTAAAGACTAACATTGCTGAATGTTCTCCTCAAGAAGGCCAAGAGGAGAAGGAGAGAGAAAAAGGAAAAGTCAAAAACAAATAAACCCAGAGCACCTCAGTGGCTCAGTCGTTAAGCATCTGACTTTGGGTCAGGTCATGATCTTACGATTCTTGAGTTCGAGCCACACATGGGGTGAGTCTGAGCCCCACTTTGGGTAAAACACAAGCCCTGCTTCTCTCTCTCTGTCTCTCTCTCTTCACCCCTTGCTCACTTGCACCCTCTCTCTCTTGCTCAGAAAACAAAACAATAGAAAACAACAACCTTTCCTGTAGGGATGTACTATTTCTTTCCCCAATGTTCATAAGCAGAATTATATTCAAGGATTCATCACTGGAGTCCCTGTAGCTAGAAGGTTGCTTAGGGAAATGAAAGTCGTGACAAATGCAAAAATGTTTGCCCGTGATCACGCACCGTCTCGTTCTCCTACCCGACTACGGAATGAAGCCCCTTTTGGATCAGACTCCTGATGGTTGTGTGATATTATAAATATCTGACAGGACAGTGGAAGTGATGCAAATCCATTTCCAAGTCAAGTTTCAGATCTTGCAAGCAATGGAAGATTTCGTGGCATTAAGGAGAATGAAGTTGGAGGATTGCTCAAATCATCGCAAGCTGTCAAAAATAGGGGCATGGCGGGGTGTGCCAGTTAATGATGGGAAAACAAAAAATTGGCAGAGACAGGGACACCAGAGGCGCTTCAAAGAAAAAGTGTGTGTATCAAACAGTCATGAGAAGCCTTTGGGGAAATTCATAACCCTCTTGCATACTTTTGTGAAAATGTCTCTTTGTGCGATTGGCTATCAAAGTAAAATACAAAGCTGTTGTACAAATATTTTTAAAAATTTTTTCTTAAATAATTCATTTTTTTTTTTGTTCAGTAAGAACTAATGCATAGTTGTATTTATAACTTGTGTTAGATCGGAGAGTTTTAAAAGCTTAACTTAATCTTTTGTTTTATTTTTCAAGTTCAAGCTCCAACAGAACTTTTTCTCCCCCTCCTATTTACAATAAAATTGTCTCTCTCAAGTAGTTTCCTATTGGGTGGTTCTCTCAAAATAATGGAGATTTTCTGCTCCAAAGCCCCTAGTATAGATTACAGTCTTTGCATCATAGAGAGCTTCACCAAGGTCGGGACCAGAGGAGACACCTGAGTGACTCCTGCATGACTCAGAGAGTCACCAAAAGGAACCACCCGGAAAGGAAGAAAGCCTCTGCCTCAAAGACAAATTCCAGCTTCTACCCTTAGGGATGGAGGGAGCCATTTTTCTTTTCAGTGGCCAGTTTGTCCCTACTTGTCAACCACCAACCCACAGAATTATCAAAACCTCCCCTCAGAGGCTCCCACTAGAGGAGCAGGCATTTTGTAAGTGAGAAAAAAGGTGTTTGTATCCTCTGTAATTTTTATTGCTACTATTTGCATTTTCTCTGCCTGGAAACTAAACGCCCGCCCTGTTGAGTGAAATACCAGGCACCGTCTTCCCTGCTGGAGGCACCTGCCGGGCCTCCTTGCTCCCTTGGCCCAGTGCCCCTGCCCAGTCTTAGCCCTGAGGGTCTCTGATGGCAGGAGGAGGACTCCGGTCCCCATAAAGTGACAGAACAAGAGAGGCTCAGCTTCTCGGTGATGCCTGCTCTGCTACAGAGGGTTCTCTGGGGTCTTCTGGGCCTTCTCTGATGTGGAGGGTGGGAAGACGTCAAGAGGTCTATGGACGCCATCTCCCTAATCAGTCGCTCAGACGTTTGAGATTCTGTGAGGAAACAACAAAAGGGGGTTATCCACGCAGCCCAGGTCCCTTCACGATCCCTTTGTTCCTTCTGTTGCAATCTGCACCTTCTCCTACCCCCCTGAAGACCAGGTCAAATCTCCTTCCTTCCTCAGCCTGGAGTGGAGTGGGGGGGGGGGGGGTTGGCTGCCTCCTAGGGGTCAGGGTATGTCTGCTCAACCCTGTGACCTTATCCTCCTGAGGAGGCAAGACTCTCCCACCACAGCTCAAGGGTGCAAGAAAGGTTACGTTTTGTTTACATCAGCGTCCTTTCCATTTCAAATCCCTATTCTGCTTGACGGCTGGCACTTCCCGTGACTGCTGGATAGGTTTTTTTGTCCTTGGTGATTATGTCCCCATTCTGAGTGGCTCATGATCGCAGCTGGAGAGTGGGGGGAGTGGGGAGCGGAGAGAGGTGGCCCCTGACCCAGGTCCTCTGTCTATGCCAGCCTCCCAGGACTGTATCATCCCGTCCCACCCTCGGTCACAGACCCTAACGACTTCCAGGCCCCTTCTGAAGAGGGTCTACAGGAAATTCCGCTGCCCGCCCACGCTGCTGCTAAACTAAGGGAACTCTGGGACTGTCACAGGCCTTCCCCACACTAAGGGTCACTTCCACCCCTGCCAGCTGGCCCTTGCGGCACAGGAAGGAAGGGCAGAGGTGACCTTTCTTTTTCAATTCTCCTACCTCTTGGGTGGTTCCCTCCTTCCCCTAAGGGACGACCCTCTGAGATGAACCTCTGCGGGGGAGCAGAGCCATGGCAGGGCTTTATCAGGGGTCCCTCCTCAGTCCTCTCTTTCCCTTCTGCTCTCACTGTCTCCAAGCCAGTGTGGGGCCTTGACCTCCTCCCAGGGTAAGGTCTGCCCTACCTTGTGTCTTCACTCTGGAGTCTCAAAACCTAAACGTTTGGGTGCTGGGTGCCCTAGTTCCACTGGGACAACCTCCCTCTGAGACAGAAACGGTCATGGCCTGCTGCCACATGTGGGAGAGTCACCGTGCAACAGAGACTCTAGGGACTTTACCAACATATTGTCCCTACACGGGGACCCATACCGCCAGTCGTGCGAAGACAGAAAGATAAGCGTGGGCTGTGGAAAAGTGGAGCCTGTGCTCCATGAATATGCAACTCTAGGCTTCGGAGCTTAGCATATTTCATTCTGTTGCAAGTTGAAATGTGTAGGTATATCTCCTTGGCCCAACTCAAAAGGTAGATGTTTTCTGCCTTCTGCGAGTACAGACACTTGGCAGCCAGCTTTCTCTGAACGTTCGTCTGGAAAAGAATCTCCGCTTGTTGTGAGTAGTTAAGTTTATTCAACATATAAATCTCTTAAAACCCATGCACTTAAATGCTTGCGGTTGTGTGGGATATTATCAGTGTCAGGGATGGGCGAAGTTGAAGGCATTTTGGGTCAGTCTACTTTCTTTAAATCTTCTCCAAACATTTTAGGTTTGGCAAAACCTGAATTGCATTTTTGCCAAACCCCTGTGCCTGTAATTTGTAAACCCCTGTGTATTTTCAGGGAAATGTAGTCCATATGTTTCTGATTGATTTACACTTAACTCATCTAAACGTTGTTTTGCTAGTGTTATTTGATGTCCGAAGGGTCTCAGAGCCTGTTTACATCTGTCTAAGCTGCGCTTTTCCCCCCTGAGACTCGGGAAGATCTGTTTTGCCAAGAGTAAACTCAGTTGAAGTTTAGTTTACTAAGCACCGCCCCTCCCTGCCCCCACTTCCCACGTTCGTTCGGATGGGACTTGGGTTGAATCCGAACTAAAGAGCTGAGGAAGTTGCATGGGGCTTTGAAGTTGACCAAACACTCTCCACCACCACACCTCACTAAGGGGAATCAGCCCAAAGCCTCCCCACTGGGGACTGTGACCCATAACGCTGGCACAGAGACCAGCCCCCAGGCCAGGCCAACTTCCCAGCCTGGACTTGTCCCCAGCGGCACTGGCACTTAGCAGCAACCAGCCAACCACCCCACCTTGACAGTCCCTTCCAGTAGGACATGTTCATCCAGGTTTTATGGGGAGGAAAGCACAGACTTTGAATAAAAGCCATCAGCCCTCTTGCGAGGTCTGCAATAATGATCTTGTAGAGAAAGACTGTGGTTTTAGAACAAAATAAACAAAAGAAATCCTCAGCTAGGGCCCCACATCACCGAACCTTAATTTTAGATAGTCTGCATTTGCCTTGCAAATGAGTCCAAAAATTACCAACCCACAAACATTTAAAGCAATCTTGCCCACTGCCAGAGAGAGTATGCGGGGCAGAAGGAATGAGCCTGGCCCCTTCTGCTCTGCTCAGTGGAAGTGGGAAAAGGGTGTTGTTGGAACTTAGCTGGTGCCCCACAATTTTGGAAACATGATAACTAGAAATGGAGACGTACTCATTGCAACCATATGATTCATCCTTGAGGGAAATGGTGCTTTATTTTGGAGGAAGCACTTTAATGGGCATTGAGGCATGTTCAAGTAAAGTCTATTTGGACTGGAGAGACTCCAGACAAAGAGGAGCTAGGTGGCTTGTAAAATAAGGCGAGGGGTTGTCTTCTCTGCACGCAGAGTTGCCGTCGACTTGGAGATCAGCCTAAGATGTCTCTACCTCTTGTTTTACCCTGCAAGGTATGGGCAACCTAGATTCTAATAAAGGGACACAGTCAGAGCATTTAATTGGGGGAAAATTAGGCTAGCCCCTGAAATGTGGGGCAAGTTAGAAGATAAGAACAAAGATAGCTGGGACTCTCTCTCACCAGGGTTTAAGCTTTCTGTTTCTATGTTGTACTTCCCTTCTGCTATCTTTAAGCTTCAGATAATCTTGATATTATAGGTTGGTCTTGATTATGTTCTGGGGGAGTAGGTGAGGGGCCTGTGCCTACGCCATGAGGGAGACAGAGGAGACTGAGAGAGAATGGAACAATGTGACAAGTGACAGATAGGCCTGACCTCTGGAACATGGACACGTTCCTCGGGGATTCTCAGAAATACCTGGGATCAGGTAGACATACTGAAGACAGGCTTTCCTGAAGCCTCCTGGCATGACAGCTGAGTTGGGAAGAATTTTCCCCATCTGGAGAACTCGGGGACACCAGCCTCATATCAGTGTTAACTCTGGTGGGTGGGCCAGTGGCAATATTTGCAAGTCCACATGGGATACCAACGGTGCTGTTCCAAGGTCCCCCATATGGGGTCCATGCAGGTTGGCGTCCCACGGCGTCAGGATCAGACATTTCTCCTGCCTCCCTGGGCCATCGGTGTGCGTATCTGGACCGCATGGTATCTCCCTTGCCCCACCTTCTAGTTTCACCGAACCGTGTTTTAGCGTGAAGTCATCAAGCTACACTGAAGACTGAGAAATGCGTGTACTCTAAGCATGTTGTGAGCCGCAGTTTATCATTTTGCAAAGTCTCCTTCTGGTGGTGCTCTAAGAAGAAACCCATCCCTGCTGCTCACCGGCAGTATGGCTTTAGGCCAGTCCCTTCACTTCTCTGACACTCCATCTCCTCCTTTGTAAAGCAAAGATCATAATTCGCTTCCTTCGGGATTGTTGTCACACACTTGATAACATGTTGTTATTACAGGAATTCTTACAGAGTAATTCTTCTCACACATTATTGCCTAAATCCATGGCTGGTGTCTAGTTCTTCTGCATCAACTTTGTCCTTCCTCTCTGGCTCTAATTTGTTTACTCTCAGAGAGTGCTGATCCTTGAAAGGTCATCTGGAACACTGGTTCTCAAACCTGGCTGCACATGAGTCACCTGCAGAGCTTTATAAGGCATTTAAAGGAGATGCTGAGGAATCCGTGTTTCTAAGCTGCTTTCCTAGTGGTTTGGCTTTGTCCACAGATGGGGGTTTGAGTTACCCCTTGCCTCGATTCTTCCTCTGCCATTAGGCAAGAATTCCTTTCTGCTATTCCAGGCAGGTGGAAACCTGCCCTGTGTTGGACTTTAACAAGCAGGACTCCATACCCCCCTGGGGACCCCTTGCAGTGTCTGACATCCTTTCACGGCGCCTTTTCCCTGTTGCATTCTCGGCTTATTTCTCCAAAGATCTTGATTTAGTTTGTGACTACCATCCAGCCATTGTCTTTGTCTCCCAATCTGGTCACTCTCCCTGTCTTCTCCCTTGGGAGGCGGGTTCAGACATTTGTCTCCTTATTTTCTGAGGCTAGAGTTTTGCTAGACCCTTTACTCCAGCTCTTCCTTTCTTCCCTGCACTTTCTCCCGTCTGGAGTTCGGGTTTATTTTTCTTCCTGCCTAACTACTTCTAATATACTAAGTCAATAAACAGATTCTCTGTGGTTACATATGGCAAACAGCTGAAATTTACAGTTGAGAGTAAAATTTCCTCATTTGGGAAAAAAAAAAAATCATTTCACAGATTTAGAAAGTGGTCATTCTGATCTCCAGGGCAAATAAAAGTGTTTTATAACCTTCCACAAAAGCTTATGCCTTGATTAAATTTTATTATGAATTATTAATTAAACCAAGAAAACACAGAGGCCTAAACCTTTGCTTCAATTTGCTCCAGATTGAGACACAAACCAAAGGCGACAAGAAACCCTGAAGGGGAGGTTTAATGATAGGCAACACATATAAAACTATCTGCACACTTTCATCTGCCAAGGGCTCCAAACCAGCCATGCAAACGAGCCCCTGCGCCTAGGCCTGAATGCAGGCCAGCAATGAACCTGGAAGAAACGGGAAGTCTTCAGCGTCTCTCTCCTGGATGCTGTGTTTGGGTTTCGTGGGGGCATTGTGACTTTGAGGACACATCAGCTATTTGTCTCATGAGCAGCTGTGGTTAGGTGGGGAGTGGTAGGCAACAGGGTGGAAAAGCAGCCCGGTGTCTTGGAAGCTGAACCAGAGGTCAGGAGAAGCGGGCCACCGTGGTCATGGCTGCGTGACTGACTCAAGCAGGGCCACCCAATACAGTTGTTCAGGTTGCCTGGAAGCAGGGGCAGGTGAGTACAGAAATCCAGCTCATGTTCACCTGACTAGGCCTTGCTGCCTGCTGTAGGGCTGCAGCCACTAGGGGGAAAGAGCATCTTCTTCCGACTTGAACAGGAGAGTCACATACTGGTCAGGTCTTGCTTGGAGGCCAATTGCGTATGCAGGGGGTGGGTAGGAGGCATGGGCCTGCATTCTCCCGAAAGGAACATCTTTTGTTTTAGAACACAGAGGGGTTGTCTGGGCAAGTGGTAGCCTAGAATTCAATGCACAGATGCTGGGGGTGCAAATACGGAAAAGACCCTGTCTTCAAAGAGCTCACAGTAACTTGGGGAAGCAGACAAATAAACAGAGTATTACAACACAGTGGTGGCAAACGAGATACAAGATGTCTATGCATCCAGGTGCCCACCTAGCTGAAATTGGACAGGAGAGAACTGGGGAGGCTTTCTTGAGGGTGATGTCTAAATGAGTCGCGAGGAGTGGAAAGGGGTCGGGAATGAGGGAGCGGAGAGTGGGAAGGTACTGAAGACAAAGGGAACTACATGATCAACTAGCGGGGGATGAAAAGAGGTCCACCTGATTGGAAGAAAGAGGGGCTCTTAGAGAAGACATGGAGACCTTGTGGGGTTCCCCACCCATGTCTGGTTGTGGCTCAAGCCATTTTCAAATATGTGCATTTATTCAAATATAAAGGAATTGGTGATGACTCTTCCCTTTCCCCACTGGCCAAAATTGGAGGGCTTGGGCCCTCACCAATTTCCCAACACAGTGCTTGGCACTTGACGTGCTCCGGGACTAGCTTCTTCTCCTTCCCTACTTCTCTGGCCCGTTCATTTTCAATATGGAAACAGGGATAAAAGACATATATCTGTGCGTCTTTTACAACATCCAAAAAAAGAACAGATACAGGATGTGAAGGGTAATGTCCTGGCCCTTTTGCAATGGGCAGCACCTATGATTCTGTGTCCCTGCTTCTGAGTTGGTTCTAAGAGCATACTGAAGTTGTGCTCCAGCAGGAAGCCGGCTTCCCTGGAGTAATCACTCAGAGAAGAGGCGAGGAGAGCTCTTCAACTGCCCAAGAAGCCAGGTTTGCATTATCTGGTTATCTTCCGGAGTTCACCACCTCTCTCTGGGATTATCCAGGCCCCCCGTCCTGCCTCCCCAAGAAGATCCTGCATGGGGACCGTGTGGCATTTATTTGGCTGTTACTTATATTGAATTCGGTGCTCATGGAAAGTGGCACTGCTTCCTAGCATGACACCACATAAATAAGTTTGAAGATACTGCTTAATAAGAAGCCTATAAAAGAATTGTAGAAAGAATTGAAGGATGCTGTTTCCTCTCTAATATCTGCCATGAATCATTGCTCAGAGGGAAGGCACAGAACAGAGGCACCCAGGGACAGCACTCTGGCCCCCGGGGGGCAGAAGAGGGCCTTCCTGATAGGGCATACGTTACCTTTCTCCCCCCCGGCTTTGGTCTGAGGCTGGCAGAGAGGGAGGTGGCTGTGAGGCCGTCTGATGAGTAGGCTAGCCTGTCTGATGGACTGGCTAGTCTTTGCTGGCACCCAGTTTTGTAATCTACTCTCCTGAATAAATCCATGTGACCGTTGCCTCCAGTCAATTAACCACATCTAGTAAATGCTTACTGTGGGGCCAGCCTACTGGGGGCAGCTCTGAAAGAAGTAGACTATTCTGTCTCCACAAAGGATTTACCTCAACCCCGTGGGACTTCTCTTTCCTGAAAAAGATCATACTCTTTCCCTGGCCTCTTCTGCAACCAAAAGGAAAATAAGGCACAATATTCTTAGTTAATTTGGAGTTTCTTGAGGGAGAAAATGTTCTTGGAAAAACAATGCCTTATTCCTTTCTTTAGAAAATTCTTTCCTGGAATACAGCTCAATTATGAGTCCCCGAAAGGCCCCCAACGTGTTTTTGTGGGGTTTTTGGTTCTTTTTTTTTGTTTTGTTTTGTTAAAAGAGATGGTGTCAGGCCAGGCCTTTAGGGAAGTTGAAGAAGACTTTTGTTTGCTGCGCATTGCTTTCCTAATGGAGCCCCTTCTCCAGAGCTGGCGTGTGAAGGAGGGGTGGGGCTGCCTCAGTATCTGACCCCAAGTGAGTTTGTCTGAACAAGATGTCCTGCTGTTCCCCGGCAGTATATTATGGAAGCCAAAGAGCTGCCCTTGGAAGGCAGACGAGTGGGACGGGGGGGGGGCAACAGGTGGCCTCACTTCTTGGTAACGAGTGGATAATAAACGCTGTGTCCGTACCCCAGGCAAAGCGCTCAGAGGTCCTCCCGGGGGGGCTGCTTTCTGAGGGGATGCTCTTCCAGTGCTCCCCAGCCACCCGGGAGAGCCAGCTGCTAGCAGATGGAAGGGGTTGGAGGATGCAGGGAAGTGACCAGGGAATAAGAGAAGTGTGCTCAGGGAATGAGAGGCATTTAGGCTGAGAAGCGGGTGGAGGGAGAGTGCAAGTGAGGGAGATGGGGAGAAGAGCACCCGCCTATTTGATTCAGGTCCTTGAACTGTCTCAGTGAGGCTTTCAGAGATTATTTGCTTCAACCCTTGAGTTCAGAGTTGAGGAGACTGAGGTCCGGAGGAGTTTGAACTGGCCTTTGGTCACATGGTGAGTGTGCAGCTCAGCAGCATCCAAGATCTGAGCTGTAGTTCCTGGTCTTATCTTTGCTGGTGACAGTTGAGGCTCCTTTAGCTTGTCCCTCTGAGATAGAGGAAGAGCCAGGAGAAAACCATTGACCTTGGAGTCAGGTGACCTTGGTGGCGGGGTCTAATTGCCCAGGTCCCACTTGGACAACATATTTCCCCGGGCTTTCCAGACAAGGGCAGAGCACCACCCCCTTGCTCTCAAGCTGGTGACCTGTAAGAATTGGCAGCAAGAGAAGGCTCGGGGCTGATTTGGAGCCCTCTGGTGTGTTTCTCCCTTCCAACTTTTGGAGGTGGCAGTTACTGGGCAACATGACCCTTGAGGAGGAGATAAACTGCTTCAGATAGGAAGGCTTTATCTTTGAGGTTATTGCAAATGTGCCTGACTCCTTAATCTAGTTCTGTCCAGATCTGAACTGGTAGCCAGATAAACTGCCGGCTGCCTGATTTCTTGTATTTATCAAGTCTAAACAATTATCAGAAGGCAATTATCCCCTGGGAGGCCAGTGGCTCAAGAGATAAGCAGCACCCCGCAGGTCTGGTTTCTGACCCGGATCCATAACTTGTCACTCAATGCCCTGTGCAGATTTTCTCCTCTTTCCCACAGTCCTAAATTTTAAAGGAGGCTTGATGTTCTGACGCGTCTGTTTTGGTGTTTCCTTGCCCATAGCTGAAAATAAAGTCCGATGGTTCTTATAGGGAGATAAATCCTTTTTAAAGGCCCTTTTGTTATCACCGTGGAGTTTGTGAGCACTAGAAGTGGGTTTTAAGGGACCCTTGAGACCTTAGATCAGAGTCGGCTATATCTGGAAGGGACCAAGTGACCACTTTGCACAGCCCCTTCATGGTGTCGGTGAGGAAGCCCAAACAGAGGGATTCGGTGTGTTGTGAAAGGAGGGTGCTCTTTGGAGTTAAACTGAGGTGGGTCTGAAGCTTGCCTTTGACACTGGCCAGCTGCCTGACCTTGGGTAACCTCTCGGAGCCCCCATTTCCTCATCTATCATGTGGAAATAGTAATCTGAGCCTCACAGCATTGTTGTGAGAGGTAAAAACTGTTTGCCCCTGGTCGAGGTCACACATATAACTGGGGGCAGAGCCAGTGTCAGAATCCCAGGATCCTGGCTCCCAGATCTCTCTTCTTTCCATTACATTGTGGAATCTTCTTCTCTGGAGGTCTGCAACTTGCCGTTAAATTAAAAGTAAAGCTTCTTCTTGGTCCCGCCCAAAATTCTAGTTCAGTGTTTCTCAGACGGCTCCTCCAGATGGTCTGAGGCTCAGTTCTGCTTAGGACTCATGTTTATACGATGACAGCATCTATATTTTTTCTGGATGAATTAATAATCGACTTGCCATTGTATTTAGGAAAAACCAGACATCACCTCATGGACGTCTCACTGAAAGGAGGCGTCATTTATTCCACTTATTCTGGCAAATTTTCTACTTAGTTTTGGTGGCAGCAGGAACAGGGGTCTTGGGAAGCTTTTTGCGCAGCCTAAGGTTGTTACTCGTCCTCAGGATGACAGGCCTAATCCAAAGTCGGGTGGCCTGAGTCTAAGGTCCTAGGAGCTCTCGTCAGGGCGTTGTCTGCGCCTCGGACACTAGGTGGCGCCACAGGAACATCCTCGCGGCTCGAGGAGCGGTGGCAGGTGGAGAGGACTCGCCGCTGAGCCACGGAATTCTCGGGCTTTCCACTCGGGGCTGGGGTTCCGGCTGGCCACCTCTCGCCACCCTGTCCTCCCATCAAAAGCACGGCTTCCCTCTGGGGAAAGCCCTGGTGTTGTCTGGCGATGGGAGTCATACCCCCATTTGGTTTTAGGATTCACCAGTTCAGCATTTTAAACCCCAAAGGACGAAGCGTGTTTGTTCCTCTTCGCTGCCCCCGCCCCCTGTGTTAGTAAAGATTCATTTGCCTTGAGTGGCATCATTCCAGGGGTTTGGGGTGCTAACTATAGCTCCCTTTTTTTCTCTTTTGAAAGGCTGCAGACGTCATACACGGTACGCTTGCATGATGGACGCCTCCGAGCCGGCCTAGAGAGATTGTCGCGGGGGCTGTGGGGCCGCAGGGAGTTTAGGTGCCCGGCTCAGGTGCCACGAGGCTATTCAGCCAGGTGCGAACCGACTGGCCTCTCCTCCGGCCCTGCGCCGCGGGCGCCCCCTGGAGGCGGTCGGGGGAGCGGGGATCGGCGCGCCTCCCGCAGCCCAGGGGTCCCCGCCCCTCTTCTTTTCGGTGCCCCTCAGGATCCCGCAGAGATTCCCAGCAGCCTCTCAAATCGCAATAAAGTTTCCCTACTTCAAAGTCAGTTGCTGTTCTCTCACGTCCACATCACCATTTACACCTGGCCAATTTCCTCTGCTCCATCCAGACAAATGGCTTCTTGGCCCCCACTGGGTCACCCCCCTCACTCCTCCAGTTCGGCTCCTTTCTCCAAGGTCCCTTGGTTGGTCTTGCCCCTCAGGCCCTGGTTCAGGCCGGATCCGGGGTCCCTCCCCACACCAAGGCTTCCCGCCGCCTCCCCATTCTGGAGAGTCAAGAATGGAGCCAAGTTTTGTCCCTTTCCTTCCTTAGTGCTGTATGCACACTTCAGGTATTATGCTTTTCCTGTTTACCAGGGCTGTCGGATCTGGAAGTGATTTGTGAATAAAGGCAGCTTTTTTTTCTGCCCCAGAAGTTGCCTTTTGACTAGGAAGTATTGTGTCCTGGGAGTGCAGGCCTGGGAAGTTGATGGAAACTTCAACTACATTAGCCTCAGCTGTGAGAATAAAGAGACACTAGACAGAGCATCAAGAGTCCCAGGGGAAGGAGAAGGGAGAGGGAGGACCAGGAAGGGTTACAAGAACCAGGGGCCCCATGTTTGCAGACCTGGGGTGGAGGAATCCTGCCTCTGACATCTGTGACCTCTGGGACTGTGACCTCAAGCAATTCAGGTTGCTTCACTTCTTGAGCCTCAGTTCCCTCTTCTGTAAAATGGGAATACTACTACCTACCTCATAGGGTTGTGGTGAAGATTATTAACTCATGTTATGAAGTGCCCTCCTGGCAAATAGCAAAGGCTAATATATGACAGCTGTTCACTTGATCCAATCTAAGCCACTGCTCTAATCTTTCACCTTGCTGATTACAGACATCTAAAAGTACCAGCTTTTCTCACTGTGGGATTAGGAGAAAGTTCCCTGAGTTACTAGTATTCTCCTTCATTTTATGGGGCTACAATGTCCTCTTCTCATTAGAAAGGAAGAGAGGGTAAATGGCTTATTTTCTTCTCCTGGGACCCTTTTTTTTTTTTTTAATATTTATTTTTAGAGAGAGCACACGCATGAGCATGCAGGGGGAGGGGCAAAGGGAGAGGAGAAAGACAATCCCAAGCAGGTTCCGTGCTGCCAGCTCAGAGCCCCACTAGGGGTTCCATCTCACAAACCGTGAGATCACGAGCTGAGCTGAAATCAAGAGTCAGATGCTTAACTTCCTGAGCCATCCGGCACTCCTCTCCTAGGAGTTTGGAGGAGAGCGTTTCATGATGTAGCCAGTAACTGGGGATAAATAAACAGGGTAATGTGGGGTTTGTCAGCTTCCTCCCCTATTCAAGGGGAATCTCACACAGGCCCCTTCCGTCAAGAAACATTGCTATAGCATCTTGTCGGAATAGACCTGTGCACGGCAGCATGCCCATCTCTGGTTTTGGTGGAAGTCAGTAGGCTTGTAAAGATTTCTGAATGGGAGACTGTGTCAACCATCCCTTTGACTAAAACCCAAGCCAGACATTCCTTCGCCTCTAAATACCTCTTGCTACCGAAAATATAAAAACAGTCTTATCTAAATGCCTTGTTTTGTTGTGTAGAGATGGTCATGTGCTGTTAAAGAACAACTACCCCTGAGGCACCTGGGTGGCTCAGTCAGTTAAGGGTCCCACTTTGGCTCAGGTCGTGATCTCATGGTTCGTGAGTTCGAGCTTCCATCGGGCTCTGTGCTGACAGCTCAGAGCCTGGAACCCGCTTCGGATTCTGTGTCTCCCTCTCTCTCTGCCCGTCCCCTGCTCACGTTCTCTCTCTCTGTCAAGAATAAATGTTAAAAATAAAATAATGACTACCCTTATCTTTTTTCTTCCTATTTTATTGAGATGCGATTGATATATAACATTGTGTTAGCTTAAGTTGTATACTACCCTCGTGTTGAGTTTGAAATATTAACACGTCGGCACCTTGCATGTGAATAACGCTGTCTATGTTTTTATCTTACTGATACTATGGGGCTGACAAGCACATACCTTTCACTCTGTAGATGAGGAAACTGAGACACAGAAAGAGGAAACTGATCATCCACTTGTTCCCAGTCCTGGTCCTGTATGCCCACAGGCATCTGAAGGTCTCTGAAGGTCTCACCAGCCTCTGTGGTTGGTCACCTCATCCTTCCATGGGCAGAGTGAGTGGACTCGGATTCCCGCTGTGATCCTGTCTGGAAGGAGACAAACCCTTCATCCAGCTCAGGGCCAGGAGTGCATTGCAGCGCTGAGGACCATATGAGACAGTGAACAGGAGAGGCCCGGACTTGCTGCTCTTGCCTCAGTACCCCCCCACGGTGGTCCTGGGCCCGCGGCAGAGAACTGAGCTCGTCTGGTAGTAAATACTGTGAATTGGCCGATGCGGCTAGCCATCCTCTAGTACGAATGACTCAGTTTATTAATGCTCTGCGCAAGATGGCTCCTTCACTTGCCAGCAGCCTTAAGCAGTATTTCATTAAAACTGGCTTAATTATTTTTAAAAGACGGCCCAATTAAAAGCTATACATACTTTGTATGTGTGTGTTTATATATAGAGCTGTATATATAATATATATTTCTAAGCGTGTGTATGTGTTATATATATATACTTAGCAATTTAATTATATGGCATAAATTGTTGGAAAAATACCCGGGAGCTGGCCCCCTTTCTGTTGCTAGATTCAGACTAGAGGCCACCCTGTGAGGGGGTGGCGTTGGTGGCTTCTCAATGACTCCACAGTGGAAGTCCCAGCTGCGCAGAGCCCTGCCCCAGCGTCAGGGCCCCAAAGCTTTGGGAGAGGCAGGTTCTGACCTCTGCTCTCCTCTTGGGATGCTCCTTTCCTGTCCCAACAGCACGGAGGGGCTTGAGCTGGGGAATGCTGGGGGAAGGTGTCCTTGCCAAAAGAGACATGGAGTTGGGGCTTTTGTTTCTGGAGCTGGCTGTCGAGCTCTCCTAATGAGCAAATATGTTCTCTTTAAGGAAACAAACAAACAAAGCAAAAACACTAATTCATCTGGATTTTATTCATTTGTTTTAAATACAAACAAACAAAAGGAGAGGGGAGAAGTGGTTATTTCTGCACCAACTATTTCAAATGCAAGTTCCTCTGTCGCTCGGGGTGTTTGGATGGTGCTTGTCACCATAGGACCCACAGGGCTAGTTCCAGCCGTTATTCGGTAAGGCTTTTTTTCTTTCCAAAATTCCCAGCGTTCCTTTAAGGCCCATTTAGCTGCGGGTTTTGTTTATTCTCCCGGCAATCAGCATTTAAAATAAGACAAACAAGCATTTTTTCCTGGGCTGTGAATCCCTGCTGGCCTGCCTCCACCCGCACACCTGAAGCCAATGTGTCCAATTGAATTTCTTCGTAACCCGCTTCCCCTTCGGAGACCTGCCCCCCTCCGTATACCAACGTGGAAATAGAGAACTTAAGCAGGGCAAATGTAATTTTAAGAATTGCTAATGATGCTGGAAATCTGCAATGCAATTAGCATCATTGGATTTGTCGCTCCTCCGCTCCTCCGAAGGCACGGTCCTCGTCATACCGCTGTGGCAGTGGTGCCTCGGCGTGGGCCTGGGCGCCCCGGGTATGCTGGCAGCGCTTGTGCACCAAAATATGAACATTTGGTTAGGCTTCCTCTCTTTCTCTCTCTCAGCAACTGACTTCTTTGTCTCTTTCCCTGGTTGCAGGGGGATGGATTGTTTTCCATTGGTTATATCCTTAGCATTCAGTCCTCAGGGGACTCACTCTATTTTCTAAGTAAGTGGGACCCCCACTTTGTGACCTCATTTTGCCCTCTTGGATTTTAGGGCTTCCCTTCACCAGCATTCCCCCTATGCTGGAACCCCAGTAATTCTTGGTGCCTCAGCAGTGGTGAAAGCCGCCCCCCCCCCCACCATTACTCACCCTACGTTATACTTTCCTTTCTATACTTTCCTTTCTCTCTCTCTCTTTTATCTTCTCTAACTTCCATTTCTTTACTACCCTCCATGGCTCAGAAGTAGTATGAAGGAGAGTTAAAAATAGGGAGATGGAGGGAGCCAGAGGGAGAGAGAGAGTGAGAAAGCAGAAAAAGAGAAAATGAATTATTGGATTCAAAATAAACCTTTACTTTTTCATAGGCGAATTATTTTTGCTCCTTGAAAAAACTAACATGGGCCAGGCACGGAAAATCATGTGATAGCTGGGTAAGCCGTTGCAGAATCCAGAAGATGATCTTGAGGTGTCTGTTCAGTTTAGCAAAGGTCTCTACTCTGGGGATCCTCTTTCAGATCCAGGGGCCCAAATCAGAAGCTTGTAGAGGGGAGCTATTCTTCCAAGATTCCAGATGTGTCTGCGAGACAACACGTTATGGGGCAAATTGATTTCACCCTTGGGAAACTGGAGATTTTTTCAAAGTTATGTCTGCAAAGCCAGCTAATGCATTTCCCCATTAGTGCATTAAAGTGTGCCCTTATTAATTCAAACATAAAGGCAACAAAATAAGCTGTTAAATTTAAAATATAATACATATATAATGAGGAGAATGTGTGAAAGCCTTATTCAAATGAAAATACAGGAGTGTTTGAACTACTGAGGTATCTTTTGTATTGAATTATGAGCATATGTAATAGATTTAATTATTAATTTCCCCATTGTTCTATGCACACAGACAGGGTTCAAGGCACAGTCATTCTCTGGCTTTCATAGATCTAATTTGTATAATTATTGCCTGAATAAAGAATTGCTCCAATTCCGAGCTCTCTTTCTTTCTTCCCCCCCTCCTAAATACTATTTCAATGCTGCATTCCAAAAGGGGAACACCTGCCACTTCTTCAAAGTCAGCTGATCATTTGGAATGATGGACGGCGCTGTTGCCGATGACGTCCCCTTTCAAGTCTCTTTGTCTAAGTGAATTATCGTGCATCCTTTTAATTTTATTGAACAAATTACATTTGTCAAGGTCTATCTTTGTAAATAAATGATAACTAGAGACACATGGATGCGTATTTCTGCTGTTCAAGGGCTCTTGTTCCATTTCTGGAAGCCAGATGAACATGGAA